GCTTTTAAAAGAAGATAGGCCGTATGTCATGAATTTATTTGGCCTCTGAGAAAATCAAAACATCTTTACAAACGCCCAGAAGTGAATTTTACGGTCGACATTCAAACCGAGACTGTAACTCCGCTTTAATAGCAGATTCGGCTGATAGCTTGTCGCCGTAAAACACTAGTGAGCTCTATCTCTGACACGACGTGTTCAAAACAGCCATTCCCGCGTCAGTAAGCCCCGGACGGAGGTTGACGGCTGCAATGCGTCTCTCTCCAGCACCTATCCATCAGAACTCGACCTGTGCCGAGCCGCAGGGCGCCGGCCGAGCGCCGTGTTTACTAACGTGTCCGCTGCCCTTGTCCGGGGACGGCGATCGGGTCTCCGGGGCGCCGTCTGGAGCCGTCGCGGCGTGCCTCGGAAAGACTGGTTAATGAGCCGGCCGAGGCCGGCCGCCGGTGCGCGCAGCTCGTTAATTTGTGGACTCAAAGTGGAGGGTCACGTCGGGCAGTGGGCGCGGGCCGGCCCGGCTGCCACTGGTCATCAGAGACCGATTGACCTCGGTGACCTGGATGTGGGGCGGGCGGGGCGGCCGCGGCGGTCAGCACGGGTCAACACAGCGACGGCGAGGTTAGACGCTATCGGGCCGAGGTTAAAGGCGGAGTGCGATAAAAAGGTGGATGGAAGGGAGACGGACGTTCATATCAGAATAGTCTTTCGGACAAAAGCGGTGCATTGTAGCAGGATCTAAAACTTTCGTGAAAAACTACAGCACTCGAATGGCTATCATTCACTAACCGAGGGTCATCTGATCTTTAACATTAATAAAGAGTTGGTATTTGTATAAAAGCACGGCGGTTAGTATTATTTGTTGTGGGAAAAGAGCGAGCAAAATAACTTCCATATGGAATACAGGATTTATGCCAGTTGCCCAAGGCTCCATGCGCCATTTATCTCCCAATGTTTTATTCTCTAGTGTTTTGGAGCAGCGGATAAAGTCCATTAGTAATTTTGTCAGTCATCACCAAGCTGTCGTCTCAGCGCCATAAGCTGACAGTGATGCGGGTAATTATCAGGCGGGAGCTGCAGCATCACAAACAGATAAGACATAGCAGCTCCACTGCCGCTCTTAAAAGGTTCACGATGCAGCTACTAAATGTCTTTTTCTTCTCGGAGATAAAATACACCCATGCTTTTGCGAGCGTTCCTATCTACTCTCACGGAGCTGGTAAGAGGAAAATGGCAGACAGAGGGATCAGCTCAGAGGACTGATATCCGTCTCTTGAGCGCTGGTTAGTTTGGTGATCTCACGAACTTGCAACCAGACGCCAGTAACCACCGATCTGAGTAACGCAAAGGTTACGCGATAAAACGGCTGCCTAGTGGAGGGAGGAAGAGACCATTGAAGTAAGGCACTTATATAGTCGCGAAGAATGTGTATGGTCAGTTTAGAAAACCAACATTGGACACGGGACGCCGACCGCTACAAGCACATCAAGCATGACGGTCAGCCTGAGTGAAATGAGGCGTATCCTCCCTGCCAGTGAGTACCTCTGAGCACACCTGCCGCGCCGGGCCGCGTCTGGCGGCGCCGCTCCGACGCTGACCGCTCCGTCTCGGCGTCGCGTTACCGCCGCCGCGCCGGTCCGGCCGGACACAGACGTCACGCACCTGTCCGCCGGCCTGTGAGAACGCGCGGGCGTGGCTCCGGCCGGCCGCACCGAGGGGTATTCGCGGCGCGGCCGACAGGACCGTCACGAGCCGGCGTCACGGCCCACCGCGCCCGTCACGCGCCGTCACGGCCGGTGTGATGAGCCGCACGGATCTGTCACGGGATAGCCCGTCCCGTGTCTGGCACGGATCGCGGCGCAGCGACACGGACGGTGAGCAGCTGAGATGTGGCTTTCAGGTGCAGCCAGCCTTGCAGTCGGCATGAAACGGACGAACAGAGTTTTTCTAAGCCGGCTGAAGTACTTGCTTTGACATCACTTGGTTTCATTGTTTGGTTGAAGTTGATTGCAACGGGACATGGAAAAAACCACAGTGTATAAAAACAGTGCATGAATGGATTCAGGCCGATGAACTCGGAACAGGTTCACAATCGAGCGTAAGAACGAGGAACTGTCTTTGTCTACCGCGCATGACAAGTCGACATACTTGAAGTGACCTCACTGTCTGTAGTGGGAAGCCTGCGCAAATTACCCGAAACCTGATAGGTTTCGGCGGTACACCATCGTTGTTTGGCTGTAAAAACAGAGCCGACATCCGCTCCCAGCGTGATCGATTTCATCCGAGCGTCACAAAGGAGCCTTATCGACGGTCTGGCGGCTTCAAAACCCTGAGAATGAGCTTCCATTGTGTTATCTTGATCAGATTTTGAACAGGAACTGTGCCCATGTTTGCCCAAAAGCAGCGAAATGTTTGATCCCAGTGGTGCGAACCATCTCACCAAAAAGGCAGAAAGAGTAACACCTGCGATGAATATATAATAATTTGCAAGAATCTGGGCTCCAGACACATGCATCATTAATTCAAAACAATACTTTTGCGTGACTATCAAGAAGGACGAAGCGTCGGCCTCTTTGCCACTTTTGTGCCAACCGATAACTTTTCTCTTGGGCAATACAATGAAACAGATAGAACAGGCATGGATGGACGAGCGCGATCACAAACGGCATTGCTTGAAGAAGACACGCAACGGCTCAGGTTTCGTCATAAAGATGCATGCAACCAAGTACATACCAGCCACCAGTCTGCCTATCACTTCATTTGGAGGCCCGTCGGTGCTCCATTCGTTACAGTGCTCATTGAGACACGCTAGGATGTCACTGTGTGAGCGCGGACGGCTCTCTCGCGGTGGCCGCTCGCTGGGTCTGCGGTGGCCGCGTCCGGCAGCCGACAGACAATGACGGCCGTCCAGAGGCTGGGAGACACACGATACCATTGCCGAGACCGCATCCTGTCCCGGCACCGGCTCCATATGGGCATGGCCCACCGCTCTGTCCCCGGGGGCTGGACGCGGACAGGACAGGACAGTACAGGACGGGACAGCTAGACTCGTGCGGACCGGACAGGAGACATCACGCCGGAATGTGCCGCCCCGATCTCCCGGAGGAGGAGAGATAGCTCAGGATCCCAGCCCATGACCATCGGTCACGGACTGACCGACAGAGACACGGACACGATGTCGCGGACGACAGGAGAGTCGGGGTCTGGCAGCGATCTCGCGGGTCTGACGTTCCGGGTGCCTCTCACAGGTGTGCGTGACTGGACTCGGACGCCTCTGCCGCAGCAGTGTGAGGTCAGTCAGGTTAGCAGGCTCTTCGCCAGGATTTTTTAAGCTGCCGTACAGACTACGTCATGAGTGTGACCCAGTGTTCACCGCAAATCCCCCGGTCCCAGACAAACCGGATCCCCCGGTGGTGGCTGTTGGAGCCCGCCATGGACATGGAGCCACCCGTACCAGTAGATACAGGCCCTGGCTACCTTCCACCGCGGCTCATCCTCCCACTGGGTCACGGTCCACCCAGTCCAGAGGAGGGTGTCGATCCACCACCACAGCGGTGCTGTCCACTTCCAACCAGTCTGTCCGGCGGATCATCTCTGCCGCCGGCCACGGAGTCGGTATCGCTCCCCGGACCAGGCGCCGGTGACTCTCTGCGCGGCTGCTGATCTGGTGGCTCCCGTAACCAGCCCGGTAGCCGGCAGGCCGTCAGACAGGGGTGGGCTCGGCGCTGCTGACCCATATCGGCGAGCGCCGGGCTCTCACCGGGTCAGCTGCACCGGCAGCAGTGGCGGGGAGGTCCTTCCTGCCCGCCAGCATCGCACGGGAACGCACGGCACGGCACGGAACGGAACGGCGGCGGCAGTGAGGCGGCACGGCGGCGGCGGTGGCAATGGGGGCGGTGCGACGCGTGCCACATGTGCAGAGTTGCCTACGGTATAAGAAAACGGGATTGCACAGCAACGTCTGTACCGCTCTCTGCTTGCTCATCTTGACATGAAATCATGACAGCCATAGTGCTGGTGGTGACAGTCGTATCCCTCGACAGAGCCGTTTAGGTTCGAAATTTCGGCGAAGTTATTGAGTAAGGAGAAACTCATCCATTCAGCGTTAAGGATGCCAGGAAAGCATGCCTCTGAAAACAACTGTCGAGCTCACGCTATGCATATACGCGGTTCTTTCGGATGAAGGCATTCCCACGACTTAGCGTAGATTATTTTCTCTGGAATGCACGAAAGGTGTGAGGTTCAGCCTCCTTACACCGACGAGTAGATTCTCAGTCGGATTTGGTCTTCCATTTCGAGAAGAGCTCAGCACGGTGCGACACCCTGCCGAGATCCGTAAACAGTCTCTCTCAGACATGCAAATCGCGAAACCATCCAAATGGAGGCGCCTACTCGGTCCAACGCAAACACGTATGTACGTACGAGTATGTAGGTAGGTGTCCAGCGCCAACACAGGTGTGAGCACCAGAATCACCGAAGTGTCTGAACATATAATGCGACATTCTGCCGCGCTGCCCGAGAAGCAGCTCCCACCTTTAACATCGGACTGAACCCTTGTGGCCTGCCGACCACCATGTTATTAACAACGTTCCCAGGCTAACGATGCGCCGGCGAGCAGACGTCAGTCCGAGCGCTGGTCGTGGGTTCCATTCCGCCCATAGGCTGACGACCGTGACCACGTAAAACAGACTAAGCTGTTTCTCATTAGTGATTGGCGTTCTCATGCATATGAGGGTGACAAGTCAAGGTTGTGATAGACCTCCACGCAAATTTGCGCCCACACACCTGAAATAATGGACTCCGACACTATGCACACTTTCGACACAGGTGACGACCATAACCAAGCGGGAGCGAAGACCATTACTGAAGGATCCTTGTAACAGAAAAAGATCGCTTTTCATGACGGGGCCATGACGGGGAGGCCGAAGTGAGATGGCGCAGGCTCTGGCACGGCACTAGAGATAACTGCACGCTGGCATTGATAACGCCTCCATCCTCAGCAGTACCTGAAGTCCTCTCCGCGTCTCTCCTGTGCCCGCAAACTCCGCGGTACACTCCGCCACTCGCGAGTTCTCGTGCACAAACTCGCTCGAGTGCGGGTTGACACGTCTGTCTCGCTGCACACTTCACTGTCCCTCACTCAGACGTCCTGTCCCTTCCAGTCCACCGCTCTGGCTGGAGGCCCTCACACTCGCACAGTCCAGGCACTCTCCGGGTGCGCCGGCTCGGTCCTCACGCGCCCACCCCGCACCTGCGCACGCTGCCGCCTACCGGCGTCGACTGGCGACCTGACGGCGGCGGGCAGCGCGCGGCGGCGGCGGCGGTACCTGCCCGGGCTCAGAGCGGGCTCGGCGGAACACTAGCGCCGCTGGTCCGGGCGCGAGCGACGCAGACAGCCCGGCGCAGAGCGCGCCAGCCTCCGCCGGGCGGCGCCGGACGATCAGCACAAGAACAACCAACGCCGGTAAAATTCAGCGAGAGAACGACAGTGTAGTACGGTTCGGTCCGGCAACGGAATCAGTGGGCCAGCTCCGAATTATGCAGCCAGCCCAGGGGGTATAGCGGACCGCAATATGACCACCAGCCAGTGCGGCGGTGAAGCGGGTCGGTTAGCTGTGGTCACGGCTCAATTCTCTGGCCGGTGCTATGGGCGCCTCGGGGATTTTGGTAGTACTCTGCAAGTGCTAGCGCTTAAAAATACAGGTTGCAAAAATGACCAGTCCAATAGAACTGTTGCCTCAGACAGGAGGCGTCGCATCGCTGCATTCGCTAGACGAACACTGCCCCAATTTGAGACCGGTCCTGATTCATCAATACAATGTCAGACTAATAACTTGGCGTCCTCAGCATTACAATAGAAACCACCATTATGTAATGGCATGTGCCATTCCTTCGGCTGTGCAAAAAGCCACTGTCAAAACATGATCTCTCCAACAAGACCTCAAGACAAATAGGCCCTCGCCAAAGCCTGGAATTAAACCATTCATCATCGGCTTTCGTTCGCATGGTGTTATATTTAGGCGGGCTGTTCACACGACTCACCTTTCCGCCGATTTTCCATGAATACCATCGGTGGACTCACTAAATCACCGGCTGTCATCAGTCTCCAGAGGCCAGAGCCGTCGGTGCAGCACAGTGTCGGCCGTTCCAGGCCGCCTGATTAGAATATCCACTCTACTAAACGCGGCTCTTCCTTTGGAGACGTGCTAATGATTAGTCGCGTGTTGGTAGGTTCACGTCGCCAGCGTTCAAATGAACTTTAACGGAGTAATTCATGGTGATAGGTATCTGCTGTTAACATGACTATAAGAGAAGGAAATCGCAGAAATCGCATACCGATAGATGCTGTTTGCATGTTTGTGTGCTGAGGGGACGCTTCATTCATAACGTAAAACAAATGATTAGTATGTGACTGTAAATTGTTTGCACCTATTTCGGTTGAGAGGTAATTGGTAGAACCTAATGGCTATGAATGAACGGCGACTGAGCGTTTGAGTAATAGGGAAAAATGTTTAATACGAAACATGATGGCCAACAGGATGCATCAGAGTTGAAAATGCATAGCACCGGCGTCCGGCAGCTTATGAGTATATGGTTTGAGGCGAGTTATCAAGCCTCTTTGGTGGGATAATAATTAGTTAGGTATCACGGAGACTGCAGAGTGGCTTAGCTTCTTTGATTAGATAATTTACCCAATACGACAGGATTTATACTTCAATCAGTAAAGCGACATAGCACAATATCATAAAAATACATTACCTGTACTACTGAGTACAATTCATCCACAAAAAAAAAATTAAGAAACTATATCGCGGTAAACACTACTTTAGATCGATGCGGTTGCCGTTCTGTCATGCAGAAAAACATCATCTAATACATGCATTAGCATAACAGATTCATGGTCCAAGCACTTCAAAAGGTCAGTCAAATCGTTCCAATTGGTATACCTTATCGCTCCGCAGAGCATATTTTGCAAAACCATGCTTGTCGACCTACCAAACACACAATTCAAACGTGAACCAAGGCCTCTGACTGCAAATAGAGCTCCAGTGAAGGTTGTAAGTTTTTATTTGCCAAAAGTTAGATACATGGGCCGAAAGTCAGATACATGGGCAAAGAAAATTAACATTCGAGACGGAGTAACGACCGAAACTCTACAACTTCCCATCCCTCCCCTCTTTAAAAGCATGTGCACTCTCTTGTCACTGACGCTATCATTGCTCTCGCATGATTCGATTGAATGTGTGCGTGTAGGGATCTGGGACACTGTTTCCTTCCATGTTGAAACGCTTAAATTGTTCAGCGCACTATATGTAGGCACTGGACGATTACGCGCAAAATGCACGCGTAAGCAGTGGACAGTCACCTTTAGGTGCTCGTCTTTTATCACCAGCGGCGCAATTATCAATGTTCCAATTTATTTGGACTTCCCTTCGTTGTTTTTATAACCAGCTAGCGACAAAAACACCTCTTGCGTGCAATTTACTTGCCCTGTAGTGACAAGTGTACCTGTATATACATACATTTATTTCCTGTTCCCTTCCGTTTGAAAGCAACGAAAACTTGGTGCCAAATAACTATTTCACATTAATAAGAGTTGCTGCAACCAGATCAATGCAATGCAATCAAACTATCACATTGAATCATAGCCGTGACGTAGTTGATTATTATATTGAATATAATACGAAGGTTTTACTAATTTCAATATTCCATGTTCATTATCGAGATAATCTTATAAATGAGCCGAAGGCCAGAGGATTAGTTCCAATACAAACGGATGACAATTAGCATTTTTTCACCGCTGGCATTTTGAAAGCGTAAATGGTCCTCTTCTTATTCCTTCTTACCCAGAATGAGAAAACTTACTATTTTCATGGCAAATACTTACCCAAAATCAAGGCTAATTTTGTGCTAGGACAAATGAGCGTAAAACTGAATTTCAATCATGGTCTACGCACGTAAAGTTCCGACGACTTTATACATGAAGATTGGAGAGGGATTTACAGCTATCACCGATAAGGAAACCTGACTGCGTACCTTAGTAATCACATTCCAAACGGACAAACTTTCCCCGTTTTTAAATCCTCAATGATCGCCAGATTTCATGATGATTCACTCCAGCAAAAGAAGAAGAAAAACTGCATAGAAACGCAATGAATCAACCTCTTAAAAACCAATTTCTGGACCGTTTTGATTACAGATACCTAAATATGCCACTTGCAATTAGGCTACCCGTTTTATGAGCGAGCACACTGTTCTCGCTCCATCCAACCGAAATGGCTGCCGATGTCCCGGTACCGGCTGACATAAGACCCGACACCGGCCAAGGGCCCAATGACTGCCCGATGACCCGGCATTGACCGTGACGCGACGTGACAGCGCCGTCTCCGCGGTGTCACGTTCGTTGCGCCATGTGTTGCGCGCCGCGAGTACGTAAGGCCCGGTTCACAGTGACGGCTGCGGCCGTGCCGCTGCCGCGGAGCTCGGCGGAGCGTCACTGGCGGTCACACGGCGCCGGCTGCGCACGCTCGGGTCACGGCCGGGAGTGGGTTATGCCGGGCGGGTCGTGTAAGGTAGGTATATGCGGAGGAGAAGCTAGCTAGGCTTTAAAACCGAAGCGACACGTGAAATGTTGGTGAGAAGAGCATATGGACTAGCCTGCAATGGCTTGCTCTGGCAACTGCAATCACTAATTTGGATGGAGCTTGGAGAACGCATGCATATGCTGCGCAGGTTGCATTAGGTCAGGTTAGAAAATGCAAAGCGGACAGGTTAACGTTTAAAGTACTGCAGACAGCCATTTAAAGTGGCACAAGTGTAAGGAAAGGGGGCAGCCATGAGACTTCGAACGTTTCATTTTGTCATGTCAGGTACACTAAACGGTATAAGGTCACAGCTCTACTGCAGACAGGTTTGGTTAAAGGTAGTGTGCCACCTTTGAAAGATTTCCCATTTTATTTTTCCTAGGATAAGAAGCTTCTGTTTTTACCTAATATCGCAAAGAAAATCAAAAATGGGCCTGGAATAGTGCCTTTTTCGCCTAAAAGTTTATCGGTTTTTCGATATGTATAACAACTGTAGTGGGCTGACCTGCAAACAGGCGTCGGCAACAAGCGCGAATGCGGCGCACTTGTGACAATGAGCAAAGGTCATTAAAGTGTTACGACCATACGACGTACGGGAATGAGTTATCAGCTGTCTAATCGTAGACAACACAATGTCGAGCCTTAAACTGTAAGCCTGTAATGGTATTGTTTCTTTTATTTGGCTGTCGAACATTATTTATGGTTTGAAATATGATTTTATGTAAAATAATTGATATGAAAAAGCCGTCTCTTAAGTTATGACCCCATTTCACCACACGCAAGTGGCAGAAATGACAATGATCAGCTGACGCATTTTTCTTGGCAGAAGTCAGAGCGCGCGGCCCGACGCACCACCACCGCACCACAAAGTATGAGCAGAAGCCGCGCCCAAAGCCAGGGCCCCGGTAACGTGAGGTAGCCGAGTCGGGGCAGCGTGCGCTGACCCAAGCCGGCGCCGCAGCTTTGGGCGCGGTCTACCGCATCCCCGCGGGCAGCCCCGGGCTATCACATGACACCGGGAGGACGCGCGGCCCCGGCTTGGGTCAGCGCACGCTGCCCCGACTCGGCTACCTCACGTTACCGGGGCCCTGGCTTTGGGCGCGGTCTACCGCACCACCTAACAGGCGTGTTCGAAACCGCAGGAGATGATGATGAACGGGTTTATCGAAACTTGATTGGATGAGCCTATCGGTAATAGCGATTTCAGTGTGTGCATTTATTGTTCATAGTGGTGTGAAATGTGGTTGGGGTACGACCGACAACCCGTCGGGGCGAATTTCGCACTGGGGTACTCAAAATTTGAAGAATTTAAGACGTTTCCATGAGTTTTGAAGGTATGGATAAGTTATAAAAATCCAGTTCTCCTTATCTGGGCCATTAACTCTATACGGTCCAGGAAAGCTGGCACACTACCTTTAATGGTTGCCGAGCTAATGTCCAATGAGTCAGCATCGGGTTAGATAGCACCGGGCGGGCGGGGTGGCCGTGAGTGTGTGCTGCAGGGCCACGCACCAGATCACGGCCACCATGGTCAGCGGTCAGCGGTCAGCGGTCAGCGGGGCTGGCGGTCAGCGGGGCTGGCGGTCAGCGCCGCTCGGCGGCGGGGCGTGGTCGCTGGTCAGCGGCACACCCCGCTCTGCCGTCCCGCCTGTCCAGATAGGCCGTCAGATAGCGCGGGC